GCAATAAAAAAAAAAAATATATATATATATATAAGGCTTGGGAATTCCCTGGCGGTCCAGTGCTTAGGACTCAGTGCTTTCACTGATGGGGCCTGAGTTCAATCCCTGGTAGGGGAACTAGGATCCTGCAGGCCGTGCAGCTTCTGTGTTTCTATATAAGATACACAAGTGGATAGTAAGCACGTGAAAGGATGCTCAACAGGACTAATTAGGGAAATGCAAATCAAAACCATGATGAGATACCAACTCACTACCGTGAGTGGCTACTATTAAAAAAACAGAAAACAAGTGTTGGCAAGGATGTAAAGAATTTGGAACCCTTGTGCAGTGCTGGTAGAAATAAAAAATGGTGCAACCACTATTATAAACAGTATGGTAATTCCTCAAAAAATTAAAAATAGAATCACCATATGATGCAGAAATTTCACTTCTGGGTATATACCCAAAATAACTGAAAGCAGGAATCTGAATAGATACTTGTACAGTCATGTTCACAGCAGCATTATTCACAAAAGCCAAAAGGTAGAAGCAACCCAAGTTCCAGCAATGAATGAATGAATAAACAAAATGTGGTATATTCATAAAATCAAATGTTATCCAACTTGGGGAAAAAGAGGGATTTCTGACACATGCTACAACATGGATGAACCTTGAAAACATTTTGCTAAGTGAAGTAAGCCAGTCACAAAAAGGCAAATACTACGTAACTCCACTTATGAGGTACCTAGAGTAGTCAAATCAAATCCATAGAGACAGAATAGAGAATGGTGGTTGCCAGTAGCTGGTGGGAGCAGGAATAAAGAACTGCTGTTTAGTGGCTCCAGAGTTCCAGTTTTGCAAGATGAAAAGAGTTCTCAAGATTGGTTGCACAATAGTGTCAATGTACCTAATGCTACTGAACTGCACATTTTAAAATGGTTAAAATGGTAAATTTTTTTTGTGTGTGTGTGGTACGCGGGCCACTCACTGTTGTGGCCTCTCCAGTTGCGGAGCACAGGCTCCAGATGCGCAGGCTCTGGATGCGCAGGCTCAGTGGCCATGGCTTACGGGCCCAGCCGCTCTGCAGCATGTGGGATCTTCCCGGACCAGGGCACGAACCCGTGTCCCCCACATCGGCAGGCGGACTCTCAACCACTGCGCCACCAGGGAAGCCCTAAAATGGTAAATTTTATGTTACATATATTTTACCACAATAAAATAAAGTTAAAATTAAAGGACTATAATAGTTAGAACAAGCCTATCTGAATAACATAATTCTCTGAAAATAACTGTAATAGACTGTAAATTCACTTAAGGTAGGAAGATTTTTTTAAAGTAATACAATCTCCTTTTAAGAGTTATGAATATGATAACAACAAAAAAATGTGAAATAAATAAAAACCAAGTAAGTTTTAAACTACTTTAATAAACACTTTGAAGCATTTAAAAACCCAAATGAAATTTAAATACTGTAAACACAATATGCTCTGAGCAACAGACTTATTATTCAACTTCATATTTCTTTTCTTTTCTTTTTTTTTTTTTTTTTACCTGGCATAGAGAATAGTACCAAGACAGAGGAAGATCAAACACTCTTAGTGCTGCTGTCCTCAGGGAAAACTGCGATTCACTAACTGTTTCTTCTGACATGACTCCTCTTCTAATCTTCAGTAAACGAAACAAAAAATATATTAGCCACAAAGATTTCTGGTTATTCTACAAATGAAAGATACAAATTGAAAATTTAACTCTTTTTAAACAGCTTTCTTTTTTGCACTTAATTAAACAGCTTTCTTTTTTGCACACTGACCTGAAGAAAATAACATTCTGAGCCAAATTTACTTGAGCTTAAAGTTTATTAATCACCAAAGTAACCAAAAAGAAAATGAGTTAGATTTCAATTTTGAGTTCAAGTAGTAAATTTTCCTTAGAAAACTGCAGGTTCTAGATTCTCTCTTTTCTGGTTAAATAAATGTTTCAGCTGTTAAATAGTAATTTAAAATATTTTTCTTCCCACTTATTTCCTTCCAATAACAGTACTGGGTGGGGGCAGGTACTGAAAGAAATCTGACTGGAATCTTGACTCTGGGGGCTAAAAATGAACCTCAGGGCTCACTGAACTTCAGAACTCACGCATTTATTCTCCTACTGTCCCGTTTTAGAAAAATTTTTATTTTATATTGGAATATAGTTGATCCTACTATCCCCTTTTAAAGCTCTTCAAAGAAATGACATACATACTATGAAATTTTAATATTGTTTGAATGCCTATTTCTATTGAAACCAAAGAAAGAAACATCAGTTGTCCACAGAGAAGGCAGTCATCACTGAGATAGGCCCTTAAAGGTAGCACAACGCTGACAGAAACATGATGGTTCAGGGTCTGGGTCTATGCTTTGTAGAGCCAGAAACTCAATTTTATCAGTGTACCCAGCTGGATACATAGTAAACAAATTCACAGAGTATTAATATAAATTAGTTTACAAATTTGCTCATTTATAATAAGGAAATACACTATCTAGTGAAAGAATACATTTATATGCTATCGAAACATACCCTTTCTGAAATAAGACATTGCAGGGAGTTGAATTAAGTATAAAAGGCTGTGTGGTGAGCACAAAATTAATGGACCCTAAGGAATATTTCATACAAGCTGGGAAAGAGCCTGAGAACTGTTTCTGGTGTACAAGAGTAGGCTTCCCCACTAGCCAGAATGTTTAGGCCTACAGAATTCAATACTTTTTCCCTTGCAGAGTGCTGTACAAACTACCAAAGAGAAAACGGAAACTACCAACAATCCCTCTATAAAAACTTATTTGCTATACTTTAAGTCCTTTATTTCTGCACACATCTCTGCTCTCTTTTTCTAAACTCTAGTAGACTAATCCCTTCCGTTAATAAGCCCCGTTTTTGTTTTTGTTTTTTTTCGGACAACTATCAAAATTACTGATTAAGGGCTTCCCTGTTGGCACAGTGGTTGAGAGTCCACCTGCCTATGCAGGGGACGCGGGTTCATGCCCCGGTCCGGGAAGATACCACGTGCCGCGGAGCGGCTGGGCCGGTGAGCCATGTCCGCTGGGCCTGCGCGTCCGGGGCCTGTGCTCCGCAACGGGAGAGGCCACAGCAGTGAGAGGCCCGCATACCGCAAAAAAAAAAACCACAAAAAAAAACCAAAAAAAACCCTACTGATTAAGTAGTAGTTTCCTTTCACATCAAGCACAGTAATACTTCTTAAGGTGAGTTACTGCTGCTGACCGTTTACCTTTTCCCTATCAGGGACACTCAAGGAGTATAAACTTAATTCCCCCTCACTCATATTCTAATTAGAGTATTTCAGCTCAGTGTAATTAGTTCTAATTGAAGTACATTTATTCTAACCAACAAACTGTGATAGAGACATATTACTCAGAAATACAAAGGAAATCATGAAGAAACAGTTAAACAAGTGAAAAATAGACTTCTGAGGAATGAGACTAGGGATGTTGGGAGGCTGGGCAGGGAACCACTGTTTTTCATTATAAGTGCTTCTGTAATATTTGATTGTTTAAGTGCCTACATGTACTTGTTTTTTGAAATGTTACACAATAAAGAGGAGGGGAAGCACATTTATCCCCCCCTCAAAAAAAAAAAACCCCCAAAACCTGACAACTTCTTTTAGAGAAACATTTTTGGTAACGAAATAGATTATGGATCATTAAAGCTATCTGTGCTATTGAATTAAAAATTTTTTTAAAAAAGATACTGAGAGTAATTCACCCAAAGTGATTTTCTCCATAACAGAGTTCCAGATTTTTAAGCAGAGGAGAAAGAAAATAAAGCAATCACTTCAATTTGCTGCAGGGGTTTTCTTAAAAGAATTCTGACAAATGTCTATTTTTGCATTCTAACCACCTCATTCCCTTTCATTTAAAATCACTGAGGAAGTGATTCCAAACTTAATCATTAATAACTGAATAGCTTTTAAAAACTGGTCATTTCAGTTGCTTTCATAAATATTAATTAAAAAAAACATAAAGGCAGTTTCATGATTATTCGAATTTCGAGAGGGGGGTCTAAAACATCACTAAAAATATTATACTCTGTAATATTACTCGCTTCTCTCCATTCTAACCACGAGAGAGTTAAAAATAAGTGTCATAAATAGAATTTGTTTCTTAAACACCCTAAAATTGGACTTTATAATCCAAGCAAGAATGAAAGTCTGAAATATCCACAAAATTTTGATAATCTATACAACCGAACTCTGAGAAGATACTTGAAATACAGCAAAAAATGCTTACTTGCAATAATGATAAAAAATAAAGGTCTGTGCACGAGCAAGACCTTTTGGAGTCCTCCCTCCAGAAAATCAAAGTTGAACAACTTTATTTACAGAAGGCCTCTAACGCCACAAACCTCCCGATGCTAAATTATTCTCGGAAAGCATCTTCAAGGAAAGCGTAATCTTCCACATCCAAAAACCACTCCCTGCTCAAACCACTGACATTCTTGCAGGAACTTGTACCACACTAGCTGCCCCTCCCTCAGGCCTCCCTCACCCCCACCGCGCTCTGCTCTGCGGGCTTCCTTTTTCTTTACCAAGAGGACCAGGAAAGGGGCTCCCTCTCGGCTCAGCCGCCCCGACCGACCCTCGCTCCGGCTCCAAGCGGTCGCCAGCCCACCCTGATTCAGCGGTCCCGGGCGGGCCTCCCTCCGGCTTTCTGTTCTTCCACCCGCGCTCGGAGTCCAGAGGTCGCAGGCTGGCGCTCTTACCCGCCCAGCAGCCTCTACCCCGTGTCCGCTGCGACCCCACCCGACCCTCCGCCCGCCTGCTCTATCCGCGTACCTGGCGCTCCAGGGTAAGTGTAGCCTGTCCACGCCTACTTCCCCGCCGCAACGAGCCGCAGGCCGACCCCAGGGGTGGAGTCCTTCCGGGGTCAGGAGTGGGAAGGTGGAGAGAAAGTCGCGGGGGCCTCCTAGCCTTTCTGCGTGAGGGGCTACGTGTGAAGCAGCTCCCGCCATTTTTGTTTAGGGTAGAGGCTCTCGCCCTGCCAGATAGATGTAAAATATAGGATGGAAGAATTGCAACCTCTTACAGTGCTGTCAAGAGCTAGCATCCTAGTTCGTAACCATTTGAGGGCTCTAGGACCATACTATGAATCTGGTGAAAACTATGGGGCCTTTTCCCCATATATCATTTAAATACAGTGTTAAAAAAATACACTCACATACTATTAAAAGAAAAAATAGTGTGTGTGTGTGTGTGTGTGTGTGTGTGTGTGTGGTGTGTGTGTGTGTGTATGAGGTTAGATGCCCAAAACCAATCCACAGGTCCCAGATTAAGAACTACTATAGACGCTCAGCCCCCAAACAAATTAATGTTGAGGTATTCCAATCCTGTATTAATGATGAAGTTATTATTGATTTCAATTCCTCTTTAGCTTTTCTCCACGTTTCCTACTGAATTAGGCTACCAAATAATATGTGAATATGGTCAACTCTGAGGGGTTAGGCAATGTATTCACAGCTCCGAGGTTCTGTCTAATACACAGTAAACTAATGGTGTGGGAGGGAGAACAACAGAAAACAACATGCTGTTTCTATGTGCAGTCCTGAGCCAAAACATTCCATCAGAACTGCAGATTTTAAAATTCCAATTTCTGAGCATATCTGTGGTGAAAAGCCAAAATAATCTTGTAAGGATTGCTAAAACATGAGAGCACATGCTACTATTCCTATCTAAGAATCAAGAATGAACAGTCTTTTCTGGTAGTGTTCGAAATTCCCATTTAGTGAAATGGAAAATAGGGAGAATGGTAATGCCACTGTCTGACGTTACCGGATGAATAATAGCTAAAAATGCACAGACTGAGTTGTGTGTGAAAGTATTGTGCACTTGTGAACAGTGCTCTTGACACTTGAAGAACCTGGAATTTGTAAGGCTATGTTTGTTTATTCCTCCATCTCCTGTCTGTGCCTCCTCCCTATTTCCCACAACTTCCAAACATTCAGCCTAATGGGAAGAACAGTAATAATGATGACTCCCACTTAAAACAACTTTCCTATGAACACTATCTCCTTTAATTCCACAATAACCATTATGAGAAAGATATTATTACACACTGGGTATGGATTTTACTCTTTAACAGGAGAAAAAGAACTATCAGATTTTATTTATTTTGCTAAATCAGTGTAATTTGCTCCAAGTCTCCCTTCTCCTGGGTTACCAGAATATTCAATCTTAGTCATTATTGAATATATCAGGTAGGATGCTGTTAGCTAGAAGCAAAAGAAAACTGAACAAGTAGTAGCTTAAACCATAGGACAGGGTGGTCCATGTGGATGTTAGCAACAGATGGACACAGTCTTATATTTGAACATTGATACCTTTGATATCTTCTGCTATCCTGGCCCTGGAAAAAAAAATGGCTCTTGGATTAATTCTAAAGGTCTGATCCTCCCCCAGATAACCAAAGTCATCATGTAGTGCTCAACAAACCAGGAAGTGGAATTCATGAAATAATATTAGTTGTTGCTATTGTTCAAATACTGAGGTACTTGCTACATCAACCATTAGTGAATTTGGGTATCCTGTCTGCATAGTATTGAACAATACTGTGGAGCCAGATTGCCACAGTTTGAATTCTTTCTCTGCCACCTACTAGGTGCATGGTCTTAGGCAAGGTACTAACCCTCATTATGCCTCAGTTTCCTCATTGGGATGTTGAGAAGAGAAATGTAATAACACTTGTAAAGCACTAAGAATCTTATATAGGTATATTTTTAGGGTTAAAAATTTTTTTATTGGATTATAATTGATTTACAATGTTGTGTTACTTTCTGCTGTACAGCAAAGTGAGTCAGTTATACATATATCCTCTTTTTTTAAATAAATTTATTTGTTTATTTATGGCTGCGTTGGGTCTTCCTTGCTGTGCCTGGGCTTTCTCTAGTTGCGGCGAGCGGGGGCTACTCTTTGTTGCAGTGTGCAGGCTTATTGCGGTGGCTTCTCTTGTTGTGGAGCATGGGCTCTAGGCATGCAGGCTTCAGTAGTTGTGGCACACAGGCTCAGTAGTTGTGGCTCGTGGCTTGTGGGCTCTAGAATGCAGGCTCAGTAGTTGTGGTGCACAGGCTTAGTTGCTCCATGGCATGTGGGATCTTCCTGGACCAGGGCTCGAACCCATGTCCCCTGCATTGGCAGGCAGATTCTTAACAACGGTGCCACCAGGGAAGTCCCATAGTTATCTATTTTATATAGTGGTGTGTATGTCGATCCCAATCTCCCATTTATCCCTCCCCACCTAAGATTCTTATATGTTTTTAACTTGGGTTACTTGTACCTCTGTGGAATCCAAGGATAAAAGTCTTATTTCCATATAATTGGTTTCCTTGGTAATCCTACATATTTTATTTTATATGCATAGAAACACTACTTTGAGAAAGGGGTCCATAGGATTTACCAGAATGTCAATGGAATCCATTGACATCCAAATCCAATGACATCAAAAAATGGTTAAGAACTTAGAACATTCCCTGGCACATATTTCTAAGATATATGGCATATCAAGTGGGACTTTTCCATGTCTTTCGGCAGAAGCTCCAAAGCTGAGCAAAATAGATGCCAAGTGCCCTGAACATTCTTAAAAAGAACGCTAAATCATCCACACAGGGCATGCTAGGAGAAAGGGCAGCCCATTTAGCAACTCTTAGCCCTCATGTACCTCCAGGGAATGATGTGGCAGAATTGATCAAAAAAGATTGGAGAATGGAAATACTCAGGAGACAATTTTCTGGAGTGCTGTGCCTTTTTCCTTCTTCTTCCCCAAAAGTGGAGAGAGAAGGGTACTTGCTTATTCCGTCCTATCACCACCTTGAACCAAGTGAAAGAATTTTAAGAAATTCAGACAATTTGACCTCTGTGCCATGTAGTTTATGTCACCTGAAAAATCTAAAGGCAACAGACTACCCAAAGAGGCCTTTGATGACTGAGCAGAGAGAGGGCTGCAGCAGAAATGCCCTATACTAGCAATCTTGCAAGAAAAGTTTTCCTGTGGACCATGTGAACACCATAGAATGTAGCAGGCTTCAGTTATCTTAAAAGGTCATATGTTGAAATCAGGAGCTAAGTGGACCATCTTTTGATAAATGGTTAGCTACAGATTTTTTCAAAGTATTAGGAAATGGAACAGTGAAAAGTGCCCAGCAAGGCAGGGGGAGGGGAAGTCATTGAGGAACACATAAAAGGGACCTATAAGAAAAGAGCCAGCTCTTAGGAGTGGGGCACAGGCAGAAAGCACTGAAGTCATATTTAACTACACTGATTGGGTATATCTGATATTTTATTTCAGACATTTAGGATTACTGCTCAGTCCATCTGAGACAATATATGACCAGTGCACTTCATTAATTATTGATGCAAACAGTGCTTATCAAGTGACAACATTAAACCTGACCAAAGTCTAGCACTTTGACAATTAAAACCAATGACATTACCTAAGTAAATGAATTCTTTTAGGTAATTCATATACCCAATTATCGTTTCCATTAACTGCTAAAACCTGTAGAGTCCCCAGCAATAACTCAAGGCCTCCTTTTAAATCTACACAATGCCATAGGGCATATACTGGCCCTTGTATCTTTGTTCTTATCACCCACCCAAGAGTGTTTGACAAGACTCCTCTACAAGTCAGAACTAAGCCAACCAAGGCATCTAGAACTCAGAGTATTGTTCTAGATGCTAATTTAGAACATCCATTCCATACACATCCAAATATTGCAGATTCAGTTCCTCAGAATGTTAAACATAGGGTACCACATGGCCCAGCAATTCTACGCTTAGACAATAACAAAGAGAAATGAGAACATACATTGAAGTAAAAATTTGTACATGAATGTGCATAGTAGCATTACGCATAATAGCTAAAAAATGAAAGCAACCCAAATGTCTATCAACTGATGAATGGATGAATAAAATGTAGTATATTCATATAATGGAATATTATTTGGCCATAAAACGGAATGAAGTACTGATACATACTACAACATGGGTAAACCTTGAAAACATGTTAAGAAGCCAGTCATAAAAGATTATGTTCCTGTATCATTCTGTTTACATGAACCTCCAGAGTAGGAAAATCTATTGAGAAAGTAAGTTAGTGACTGCCCAGGGCACAAAGGGCTGAGAGGAAATGGAGGGGATTCCTTAAAGGGCATGGGACTTTTAATGGGTATGGGGTAGTGAGATGTTCTAAACTTAGACTGTGGTACTAGTTGTGCACATCTGTGAATATGCTAAAACTTATTCGATTGTATACTTTAAACACATGAATTATATAGCACGTGAATTGTATCTCAATAAAGCTGTTACCCCCCAAAATTATTATTGCCATTTCTTAGGTCAAAAAATCGAGGCTTAAAGAGATTATGAAAATGATAAAACCTAGAGATCTGAGGCCAGAGACCGATGTAGTGCATGCTCTCCCTGCATTGCCTCAGTAGTTAACAAAATACTAAGCTGCTCCAATAAGAGGCATGCGTTCCATTGGGAAGTATTTACAACAAAAGGTAAAATAAAGTGTAAACAACACAGATGTTTTTCTATTAAATTTTAGGTAAGCCAGTTTATTCTAAAGTTACTTTAAAGTAAAGAGCAATAGGGAAAAGAAATGAAGATGGTGGAGTAGAAGGACGTGTGCTCACTCCTTCTTGCGAGAGCACCAGAATCACAACTAACTGCTGAGCAGGAATC